GGTTTTGTGTGGGAACACGGCCATAAAGGACTTGCTTATGCTCCCTGTGCTTAGCCAGGGGTTTCTGAGCTGGGTGTCACGTGGCATCTTTGGGAGGTGCACATTGCTCACGGCCTCTCATCGCTGGAAGCGTGCCCAGTGTCTGTCCAGCATCACTCCTCAAACCATGGCAGCTCTGACCATTAGCTCACTCTCCCACAGCGTGTGCAGAGCAATCATATCTGCTCTTGTTGTCCAGGCACAGTGCTTATACACGTCACCACTCAAGCAATGCATCTCCACTTCTGCCCTTCTTCCTCTGAAACATGCCACGCTACGGGAGGGCACTGACAGACTAGGCTATGACTAGCACTCACATAAAGGTATGGGAACTGTACAGAGCTCTCCCCTCCTCATCTGGTTTGCATGGCAGCCAGCTGGCAAACACCACATGCAGATAACAATGACAGGATCACTAAGCAACAGCCTAATAAAGAGAGATAAAAATCATGCAATTACAATTTACAAGGAGTATAACTTCAGCCACCTTGTTCCATCCTCCCTACCTGCCTCTCAGAAAGGGCTGTTCAGCCACAAACACACAACTTTGACTTCAGCAGCACAAAAACAGACTACAGGCTCTCAACGTGTGTTTTGTACTGCTGGTTACACCATCACCAGCTGTGCACAGGCAAACTTATTCTGGGAATGCAACAGGTAACAACTTCAGCACTTTCATGTGTATTTCAGCAGTGACTTCTGAAAGCCTAGTCCTGTGGCAACCAGCTCTACCTTCTTCTACTGTGACAAGGATAGATTAGAGGGGGAGAACAACTGTAAAATACCGGACAATGGTTAAATATGTGAAGCTGGTCCTATCTGTGCAAAGGGTTAAAACAAATATGAATCGTAAAGGAAATCTGTGGAAGGAAGGAAGGAAGGAAATATCGAGCATAATCACCTCTAACGCAAACATGCCAGCGCTTTTTGTTATGTTAACAGCTGTGTTTCTTTTAACTTTCAAATCTAATTTTCACACTTCTTCCTTTGCATGAGAAGACCCCAAATCCATGTTCATATTTCATTGGAAACTCACTGTATGTACAATAATGCAAAAGGGAACTTGGAATAATATACGAGCATTCATGTGTACTTTTACTTTTCTGCTGGCACCCAAAACATTAAGTTAGGTGACATTCCACCAAGTTTCAGCATTGTCTCTGGGTTTTGCACAGATTTACCTTCTGCTGCCTCATCCAGTTTAAACATTCGCTTGTGACACGTTTCGTGTACTCATCCCAGCCTGAGCCACTCTGAGAGGAATAGCAACCACCACCTTTGGAGCTGGCCCTCCTGGCACGGGGAACACTGATGGCTTTGTACAGGGCACGCATCTGCTCCTGAAGTTGAAGCAGCCTGAAAGGGAAGGAATCACTTAGCGTCTACGAGGAAAACACCCAGAAAACATGGTAACAACAGAATTCATCTCTCCTACTGGACCATCAAGTATTCAAAACAAAGTGCTGAAAGCACAGGCTGTGGAAAAAATATACTGACTAAAATTTTGTGGAGACACCAAGGTGTGAAATTGTGTAAGAAATATATTACTGCAAGGCTCTTCTCCATGTTAGCATGACCCAAACGGGTTTAGTTCCACTGTATTGATTTCTGTCACATACTGCAACACTAGGGAAGGTGAGCACTTGAGACACCACCAACTTTTATCAGCCACATTCCCTCCTCCAGTGCTTCCCTGGTAATACCTTTTCTGATACATCTCACAGGGTTGGCCCATCTGCCTCAGCTCTCTTATCAGCCCATCCAGGATATCCATTTGGTCATTTGCCTGTGCAAAACACTCTTCCAGATCCCTGTTCCCTCTAATCTGGACACCATCCCCATATTTCAATTCCTAAAACAAACAAACAAAAAATACAAAAACAGAAAGAAAAGAAAGAGATGAGAGATTAAATTAAATATTCATCACAACCTTCAGCTTGGTTGTTTTAACAGAGTTGTTATGAGGATTGATTATTTTTACGCAGCATGATAGGTTTCAACTGCTGGGTCTCTGATTGCCAGTTTTAAAGGGCAGAAGGCAAATTAGCAGAGGATCCAGTGTCATTTGAAAGTCCTTATTACAAATCAATTATGAAAAAAAAATATTAAAACATAATACCAACTAAACCTTCCCATAAGAACAGCATGTCCTGATGATGTTTATTTCAGCAGAGCCAAGGCTTCACACAGCGTGCTAAGTTTTTAAGATCTTATGTTTTTTGCGTCTAGAGGATGAGAAGCAAACACTGTCCTAGTGGGAGTTCGTGGACATTGATCCTGATTTTTCAGAAGTTTCCCTGAGGTCCTAAAACTTTCCTCCCCTCACAAAAAATACAGACTGCACCCTGTCTGCCTGAGACCAGCTCCGTGTCCTGTCACATTTGCATCCCACAAGTCTAGGCAAATTCTCTATGCATCCTCTTAGTGCAGTGGACCAGCATCGTCATGGTGCTTCGAGCAGGAAGACACGGCTTTTTGATCTCATCCCACACTGACACAGCCATGCTGAACAAAATATAACGCAGCTGTGATTTGATTTTGCAAATAAAATGTTGATGGAGCTCATTACTTTGTCCCTCAGAAAGAAAAGGAAAAAAAAAAAAAGTAAGCAATGCATGTTGTGGCACCAAGCTGGAACTAAACACCACTTTCTTTTAACTTCACTGGAATAATATTAATCCTTAACAAGAGGCAGTATTTACTCTGGCATTGATTTTTATATAAACATGCTCACACGTGCTGTATCTCTGAAAAGGAAGTGAACTGCTAACCATAGTTCATTCCTGCAAGAATTTTCTGTCCACAGAGGGTCCAAAAGCATGCATTAAATCACACCTACTGCCAGAATTGCAAATGGCTTTTGCATCTCAGTGGCCTCAACAGCAGGGTGCACTCACTGCCCTGCTCCTCTGCCTTTGGCAGGAACAGAGGACATCCCACGTTCTGCAGGACTGAATCTAGCATCAGTGAGTAACCCACCCCCAGGCACTATGGGTTTATATCAGTGTAGCGTACAGCAAAGATCCTCTGGGATTGCATTTGGGATGAAACAATCAAGAAGATTTTAATCTAGTTTCATATACTTCTTCAGGAATCATCTGGAAAAATAAAGTTAACGAAGGTGGTCCTACGGTGGTTCAGGTTCATTATGGTCCAGAAAATGATGACGGTGTTCTACAGGACACACTAAGGGACTATAAGTGGTCATAACATTGTTAACAGCTGTTTACACTGACAATGGTCTTGATCTAAAACTGCAAAATAAGATGCAGTAAAGTCTGCTTGAAGGGTGGGGTTTTTTTAAAAATCAAAAAGTCCCCCTTGTCTTAATCGGATGCATTTCAATCGCTTTTACCCAACACTGAGACAGAAAAGGGAAACCTAGGAAGGAGGTATGCTATTCCCAGTTGCCTCACGCAAAAGAGCTGAAAGGGGAGGAAGGGGACAAAGAAGCAGAGCCTGTGAGTCCAGATAACAATGCAGCATTCATTCCCTGTAATATTCATAATCACTTTTGATAAGAAGAACAAGAAGCACTCACGGGTTGTACTATGAGCTCAGCTCGCATCAGGCAATCCGAACAGTTTTGCAAAAGCTCCTGGATGGTGTTCTGGCGTCTGGACACCGTACAGGTCCCATTCTGACTGTTGTGGGGGAGAAGAAGATGAAGTAAGCACAGAGTAATCACTCATTTTTAGAGACACAAGAAACACAAATTTGGAACAGCTAAGGGAAGTTACACTGAATAATCCATCCTATTTAGCTTCACAGAGACCCACACTTTACCTGGCCCTCCTGCAGAACTGCACTGCGAAGTTTTAATGCCGATTCCATGACGGCAGAGCCACTTTATAATTCTGTAACAGCAGGCGTGGACCGACTTTGCCACAGGATAAGGTGGAAGCTGGCATACCATAAAGGAGAAAGTTTTTCCTCCAGTACAGGTATTTGTAGCTTTGATAGACAAAACTTTGGCAGTATCACAGTGAGAATGAATTATTCACGATCTTGGCTAAAGTCAATACACTAGAACATGGCGTTTGTGTGACGTTATTGTACGTGTTATCACACCAGCCATCGAATGTCAGAGCGTAAAAGGAGAGCAGGATCCTCTGCTATACAAGCACATGGGTGTGTAACTCCACACAAGTGTAAGAAGGGCCCTTTTGTCAGTAGGAATGCACGAAGCTAGTGCAGTGTCTTAAGAAGGAATTGCAAGATGCACAAGCTACTAGAAAAACAGATGCCGGGCTTGGAGGACATGCTTTCTTACAAATAAATAAAGTGAGCGTTCGGGGGTTCCAAGTAAAACTCCACAACTGAAAACATCATCGGAAGGAAAAAGCCAAGACAGATAATGGGGTCATTAAGGTCATTAGTGTTGTTTTGCACAATCTACTGCATCCCTACTGCCAGAAGGTTGCTTTTCCAGCATTTGGGATTCAGCCATCAAAGCGAGCCACTGCTAGTTGGATGCTGGTGAGGTGCTTCTTCAATCAAGGAACCATTCCTTGCTGATGGAATCAGAGCTCCCAAGCAAGCCCAGGCAGCTCTCAAACTGAAGCACTTGCCAGTGAAACTAAAATAAACCACTTGTAAGAGACAGTAAGAAACTCAGACACTTCCAAGCCTTGTCTCATTTTCGAACTCCGGCGCTCACAGTAGGTAACCTTTTCCATTACAAATTGCTGAAGGCCCAAATCTTCCATACCACACCAACATCAAAAACACTATCGGTGCAAACTTGTCCAGCTCAGAGCCAGCACATCAGCTGGATTCCATGGAAATCTTTCCACGGACTTCAACAGACTCTGACCAACCTTCGCAAATGGAACTGCGACAACGTAAAAAACTTGGCAGAGTTGTCCTCGGGAAAAATCACTGCAGTGGTGAGAAACTTTCAACAGTGTATTTTTAAGAGCTGTTCTGCAGTGTGTGCAGTTGGTGCTTCAGCAGCCTGCCATTCTCCCATCAGCTCTTCCTGAACAAGTGCAAAAAGTCTGAACGACTTCTCACCAGCTTCCCCCAGTACCAGGGAGTAGACCCTCAAAGACACAGAGACAGGACTGGAGAATCATGGCGTGACTTAAAACAAGCTGAACACATGCAGCTCCTGGCTTGCACGGTAACCTCTCGGCTCCACAAACGCTGCGCCCTACTGTGCTATGCACCCCTGTATCTCTTTGAAACAGCTTAAAGAAAACAACTGTGAAAAATAACACATGGGTCTGATTTTGTGCCAGGCTTCTCGTCAGCTTCCTTTTCTAAATCATTCCTTCTCCTTAGGCATCACTGTTGTGTTTGGATCCAGAAGTATCTGACTGCATCTAAAATTTACATTTAATTATACCCACAACTATTCTTATGAATGAAACATTAGAAAGAAGAGAGAGGAACCTTCCAAGCAATTTTCCCTTTTAGAACATCAGAAGAGTATTTTTTGCTTCGATTGCTTTTTCAATCACCTTCTGACAGCTAAAAATGCCGGACAACCATTAAAGTCAAAAGAACTATAGATGGGGTCTAGACTTCTACTGTAATAAACCAGTGAATCTCCACTGGCTTCAGTGTAACTTCACTGACCTCAAAGGCATTACTTCACTTTACACTGAGAGGAGGTCTAAACAATGGCTGTCATAGTTAAAATGCTAAGAAATTGTGAAGAAAAACTATTTTCAAATAAATCAAACTACTAAAACAACTTAAAAGATAGAAAAAGTAGAATTATAAGTGTTTTGTATTCATCCCAATGATGTTAAGATATCACATCCATAATTATTGTCCAAATAATAAAAAAGTTGGGAAACTGAAGATGGTTTAATGTAGATGGACAAAACTGTTTCAAAGGCAGAAGCAGATGCCTTGAAGTGGGAGACTTAAGTACACTCTATTTAGATCTTCAAATAAAGATCTCCAAGTTAACTTGTTTACAGTTCATGGAGACCTTCACAAGAAGAAAGCAGTGAGCACTTAAGGGTCTCCAGTCTAGCAGGTAAAGGCTTAACCGAAACAAGGGCAGAAGCTGGAGCAATACAAATTGAAACCAGAAAAGAGCACGATATTCCATCAATACTGCTTTTAACACCTTGGATGCCAGTTTTGTTGTTAAACAACTATTTTCTTTGCTAGTCAAAATACTGAGATCAATAGCAGGATAACAGGTGAAAAGGTAGTGGCCTGTTAAAGGCAGCTGATGGCACTGGGCAAGCTAATGGCTTGCGAATCCGTCAGCCGACCAAACAGAGCTACACCGGGTTTACGGGGCATACCCAGAGACAGCAGGTGCCAGTAGAGGAGCTGATGTTTGATGGCATAGCTCCACCAAGTCAACAGGAGTCAAAGACTTCACATCCGAAGACGATTTAGCTGTACAAACATACTCAAGAAGGGCACAAATCAACCTCTGAGTTTAGAAAATAAAAATAACTTAGCAAGACAATACCTCGACATATATTGGTTGATACACCAGATGTCACCACATGGACACGTCTTCAATACTTTTCACCCATGTGACAGGAGCATGTTTCGTAAGCAGTTTCAAAGGCCCTCAGTGTAATATTCCTCTTATTGGAGCCAACAGGCCTTTAATGGAAATGAGCAGATCAAAGCAGAAACCCCAATGCAGAGTAAGCAGACATCCAGCCTTGAGGCAGAAGGACACAGCCAGCCAAAGGAAAACCATATCCAACACAACGGCATAAGGAAAAAAAAAAAATACTGGACTAAAGAAACTGAGGCAAACCCTAACCCCTGACCATGCTGCATGGCATCATAACATGGTGACAAGAACGAAGCTGGATTTTCAAAGTACAACCATGTAACTTAGATCATATATAAAACAAATAAATCATATATAAAACCACATTTACGTCCCTCAGAAAGACGCAGAACCCCAACAGTCCTTCGAGGACACAGATTAAGTGGATTTCTACAGACAGCATTTTGTCAATGTCTCTCTTGCTTCCTCTGACTTTGTTTACATGAAATTGAATGAGTTTAAAGTAATGTTTGGTCATTGTAACAACCACTGCTGCTATCAGGACAATTTGATTTGATTTGAATTCTGGCAGCATCTGAAGCTCGAACCAGTGGATAGCATCCTGCTGCACCAAACATTGTAGGCACACCACACAGTGGAAACACGGACAAGTTTTTCACTTGAAAAAAACTCACTTCACTTTTTACTGCACCCCTGTAAACACAGCATATGTTTTCAACCATTACAGCAGAAAGGAAAAGAACTGGAGTTTTAGCAGGACTTGCAACACAAGAGTGCAGGGACTCCTATTAATAAACGCATTTGCAACAATTTGACTATTTCCTGCATTACTTTGGTTTTGTAAACCCTGCAGAGCAGCGCAGAGTGAAACAGCCTGGGCCACTTCAGACCTTAATTTCCTATTCGTCCCTACATCTCAAAATTTTAGACTGTGACACTTATTTTGAAGGCAACTCATGAATTTCAAAGAGACACTATTAAATTAAGTTCTTCATTAAAATGACTTAGCTTTAGCAGTCACTAACTATTAAAGGAACAAAAGAAACCAAAGGTGAGTAGCATCTTTGTTTTAAAATTATGAGAATACTGCAAAACACAGAAGAATCACTTTTATTTGGGATCTTAAAATGTAGCCGTGTATCTCTCCAGTGCCAGAAGAACCCTAGGAAAGGTACAGCATCTTCACGTTGTCATCATTCTGTACAGGAGGCACTCTGCTCGCTGAGTGTGCAGAACGCACAGCTCCCTTGCTACACGGTACTCCTGCTCTCCCAGAGAAACCAGAGGACAGCTCAACCCCTGCTGCCAAAGAGATCTGGGCAGGATGGTAGTTCAGACAACACCTCTCTGCTGCAATATACTCCAGCTGAGCTAAACTCAGCTGTTCCCGTACCAGTGAATCCTCAATTTCTGAACTAGGATTGCGTATTTAATCGTTAAGCAATACCAGTGATCCTCGCAACATCCCCAGCTCTACAGAAACCACTATTCCTGCTTTTCATAAACGGGATTGAGAAACGCTCTCGAGGCCATGCGGTGAGTTACGAGAGTTGGGACAGACACGGCAAACCCAGCACGGCTAACTACTGCTGCCACTGACTTATTCCGTCGAAAGATCTCCTAAGTGATACGTTTGGAATAAATGATGCATCCTCTGTACACCGAGCCGTCACTGCTGCAGAACCCGAGGGGCGAGGAAGCAAGGCAGCTACCTTTTGATTTCTCATTTGCCTTCTGCTGCTGAAGACTCGCAGAGCCCCACCGTAAACGCCTGCAACGTGGAGGCTGCTCCGGTCTCTGCCTTTGTGAGCACACATCAAGAGGCTGCCGTGTTATCCGGGGGGCGATTAGCATCTAGAGCAGCAGGGCGAAGGAGACATGCAGAAGCACATCCAGCAGCTCTGTGGAGCCTTCTGGCAGCTCCACGGCTCTTTAAAGCTTTCGAAGCACAAAGGGAACACTCTTGGCCCAAAACTCCAATTTAAACCAAATCAGAACAATCCTTGTTAAATTTTCTGATTCCTCCACAAAACATTCAGCCTTTTAAAAAACTCTAAGCTTTTTTCTTCTTCCATTCAAAAAGGAAAGGAAGCTTTAAAAAAGGTCTTTTTGCAGATTCAAAGTATCAAGCGACTCCC